CATCAACGGCAGCAACAACGACCACAGCGACAATCAATAGTTTTATAGCATTTAATAGAGGCAAAATGAAAAACAAAAAAATAAAAAACTCATTAAAGTTTCTAATACCTCGAGTATTGGACACATGGAGCTGCTTGCGACGGCGCCTGCTGCTGTGGTTAGCCAGCCCAACTAACCCGTGTCGCACATGTCTGTTAGACTAACGCTTTTTCTTAATATGTTGTTGACGTTTTTCGGGGGGGGGTTTTAAAATCATAGATAAGAGCTAAGCTTTACATTAAAAATAAAAATGTTTCTAAATTTCTAGAGCTACTTACAGGCTTCACATTTTTAAATTTAATATCTTTTTAATAACTTATGAATTTACATTTATTTTATGTTTTTGTTTACATTTTTATTTTGTTTACTCGCTTATTATTTATTATTATTTTGCAATTATTAGTAAAAAAAAAAAAAGTATTTCAAGGTATCCACACGTAAACCCTAGACCCCAACATTGACCTCAATATCCAAATTCAGAATTTCAGCTCTATCCCGTTCACCCAATGCCATATTTAGTAACGTTTAGTATGCATATTCCAAATAATCTACATCTCTCCATTCTAAACACCAGCATAGACTTCAATATAAAATTTTAGGATTTCAGCTCTATACATTCGCTCAATACCATATTTAGTACCATTTAGTACTTTTCGTACAAAATAGTACACATAAGCAAAATCACCTCCATATATCAAATTCGGATACCAACCGAGACCTTTATCAAAATTCAGAATTCCAACCATATTCCTGCACCTAATATTAAATTTAGTACCTTTTAGTACTTTTCGAACAAATGTAGGACCGATTTTCAAACCACTGCCAAATCCGAAACACAGATACCATCAGGAATCGAAATATCAAAATTCAGAATTTTATCTCTATCCATTAAAAAAAGAACAAATTTAGGACCTTAAAGTACTTTTCCTACAATTGTAGTACAGTTTTCCGAGACAACCATCATATTTCCAGGCTACACATTAGCAACGACCCTAATACCGAAATGTGAATTACCACCGCCAAATCTTCTAATTACCTCTTCTCAAAAAAAAAAAAAAAAAAAAAAAAAAAAATTATAATAATAATAATAATAATAATAATAATAATAATAATAATAATAATAATAATAATAATAATAATAATAATAATAATAAAAATAATAATAATAATAATAATAATAATAATAATAATAATAATAATAATAATAATAATAATAATAATAATAATAATAATAATAATAATAATAATAATAATAATAATAATAATAATAATAATAATAATAATAATAATAATAACAATAATAATAATAATAATAATAATAATAATAATAATAATAATAATAATAATAATAATAATAATAATAATAATAATAATAATAATAATAATAATAATAATAATAATAATAATAATAATAATAATAATAATAATAATAATAATAATAATAATAATAATAATAATAATAATAATAATAATAATAATAATAATAATAATAATAATAATAATAATAATAATAATAATAATAATAATAATAATAATAATAATAATAATAATAATAATAATAATAATAATAATAATAATAATAATAATAATAATAATAATAATAATAATAATAATAACACTTGTAGTACAAATTTCCTAAACCACCTCTTTAAACACAAATCTACCCCATACAGAGACCTCAATACACATTTTCAAAATTCTAGCTTCATCCGTTCGCTCTAAACAATATTATTCCAAATTTAGTACCATTTAGTACGTTTCGCATACTCCATCAATGATTCGCATTCCAAATTTCCGGGTTCTAGCTCATTCCGTTTGTCCAATACAAAGTATAAAATTTTTGGAACATTTCAGTGCTTTTCGTACTATTTTAGTACGAATTTTCAAAATCCCATTCTTACCAAGAGGTCAGGGGTCAAGATTATAGCAAAAATCCAAGTTCACGTTGAAAAAATATTCCTTAAAAAATCCACGTTCACGTTGAAAAAATATTCCTTAAAAAATCCACGTTTATTTTTGTCCTTGAAAAAACATTCCTTTTAAAATCAAATCCACGTCTGAAGACTTGAAGTTCCTTGAAAAAATATTCCTAAAAATGCACGTCTGTAGACTTGAAGGTCCTTGAAAAAATATTCCTAAAAATGCACGTCTGTAGATTCAAAGGTTCTTGAAAAAATATTCCTTAAATAATCCACTTCTAGTTTGGTCCTTGAAAAAATATTCTTTAAAAAATCCACGTTTATTTTGGTCCTTGAAGATTCTTGAAAAAAAATCCTTGAAAAAATATTTTTTTAAAAATTCCACGTTTTTTGGTCAGTTGGTCCCTGAAAAAATATTCTTTACAAAAATCCACCTTTATTTTGGTCCTTGAAAAGATGTTCCTTAAAAAATCCACGATTATTTTGGTCCATGAAAAAATATTCCTTAAAAAGTCCACCTTTATTTTGGTCCTTGGAAAAGTATTCTTTAAAGAATCCTCGTCCTGAAGGTCCTTGAAAAAATATTCTTTTGAAAAATCCAGTTTTATTTTGGTCCTTAAAAAAATATTTATTGAAAAATCCACGGTTATTGTGGTCCTTAAAAAATATTATTTAAAAAATTTCCTTTTTCTATCATTTAATTTATTTTTAAATCTTATTTTTAAATATCAATACACCATTAAGAATATTTCACACGCTTTGCCCACATCATGAAGCACTTTTTCAATTTTATTTTAAATAAATTACAAAAAATACCAGTTTCCCATTAAGCAGACCTAATAGGTAATATGAAAATCTCAGCAGGTTAATATTACGGCCTAAAAATTCCACATTAATAATCAAATGCTGGCCGTGTATTTAGGCGTGAAAATTTTGCCCGCGACCATGTCGGCTACAATCTATTCCATGTTTTTTACTTGGCTTCCATTTTTATGCTTCGTTGCAAAAAAAAAAATGTGTTGTTAATTTTAAGCAAATATATCATAAATCTTGATGATTGCAAAAACAAAACGGTAATAGGAAAATTGTATTACAAGTGGAGCGCCAGCTATGGACGTTCAATTTTTTTTGGTTTGACATGGTGTAATCAAGGTGCCATTATGGAGTTGCGATTTTTTAAAATGTGAAAAACTTGATTGGAATTATGAAATAAATTTTACGATTCAATTAATTTTATGAAAATAAAATATTTATTATTGAGTTACTAAAAAAATCTTTAATTCTTGAAAAAATATTTTTTAAAAAATCCTCGTTTATTGTGGTCCTTGAAAATATAGTTTTTAAAAAATCCTCGTTTATAGTAGTCCTTGAAAAAATAGTTTTTAAAAAATCCTCGTTTATTGTGGTCCTTGAAAAAATATTTAAAAAAAACCACGTTTATTGTGGTCCTTGAAAAATATTTTTTAAAAAATCCACGTTTATTGTGGTCCTTGAAAAATATTCTTTAAAAATCCACGTTTATTTGGGTGCTTGAAAAAATATTCTTTAAAAAATCCACGTTCATTTATGTCCTTGAAAAAATATTTTTTTAAAAATCCACGTTTATTTAGGTCCTTGAAAAAATATTTTTTTTAAAAATCCACGTTCATTTAGGTCCTTGAAAAAATATTCTTTAAAAATCCACGTTTATTTAGGTCCTTGAAAAAATATTTTTTAAAAAATCCACGTTTATTTAGGTCCTCGAAAAAATATTTTTTAAAAATCCACGTTTATTTAGGTCCTTGAAAAAATATTTTTTAAAAATCCACGTTTATTTTGGTCCTTGAAAAAATATTCTTTAAAAAATCCACGTTTATTTAGTTTCTTGAAACAATATTTTTTAAAAATTTATTTTGGTCCTTGAAAACATATTTTTAGAAAAATCCACGTTAATTCTGGTATTTGAAAAAATATTTAAAAAAAATCGACGTTTATTTTGGTCCTTGAAAACATATTTTTAGAAAAATCCATGTTAATTTTGGTATTTAAAAAAATATTAAAAAAAAAATCGACGTTTATTTTGGTCCTTAAAAACATATTTTTAGAAAAATCCACGTTAATTTTGGTCCTTGAAAAAATATTCCTTAAAAAATCCACGTTTACTTTGATCCTTGAAAAAATATTCTTTAAAAATCCACGTTTATGTTGGTCCTTGAAAAAATATTCTTTAAAAAATCCACGTTTATGTTGGTCCTTGAAAAAATATTCTTTAAAAAATCCACTGGTCCTTGAAAAAATATTTTTTAAAAATCCACGTTCATTTAGGTCCTTGAAAAATTAGTTTTTAAAAATCCAGGTTCATTTAGGTCCTTGAAAAAATATTCTTTAAATATCCACATTTGAAAATATATTATTACTCAACCCTGCATTAAGAAATACTTGACGTTCCATTTAGCTATATGCTTTTTTCATTCTCCCCAACATAAGCCCCTCCATCTTCCCCCTCTTCATAAATATTGTGTCTTTTAAAAATTATTCGCTTTGATAAGGCGTAATTAAAGCTTTAGACATTCTTCGAATTATTTTTTCAATGACAAATAGAACTGTTTTCTAATTCAAAATGAATACATACATTGGTCTATCTTTCATATAAATACATATACATATATACACACTGATGTATGTATGTACGTCCATGCGTTGTACATACATTGTGCGTTCGATTAGAAAACAAAAATCGATTAATGCCCAGTACAAAGCACTTCGAGACTATGAAACTATTTTTCTCTCTCGATAATTGTTCTTGTGTGCCATTACCGTGATGATGGCAACTGACAGACGGACGAACGAACATTCAGTCTGTCAGTCAGACACACTGATAAATACAATGTTTTGAAAAGAATTTGAAAATGAAAGGAATGAAGTAAAATAAATAAAATACTCATATATATGCACATATTCTCATACACACGTTTAGACTAATTAATTAATACTTTTATTTGCGTTCCAATTAAACTAATATTTGTCTCTCTTTGTTGTTTTTTCCTCTCTTCTCTCCTATAGATGCCTGCGGTCTATCAGATGTCAACCACATAGAATCCCTGCAAGAAAAGTCACAATGCGCTTTGGAGGAATATTGCCGAACGCAATATCCAAATCAGCCAACACGTTTTGGAAAATTACTGTTAAGGCTGCCATCGCTGAGAACCGTGTCATCACAAGTAAGTACAGAGTTTGTTCTCGAAAAAATTTAAATAAGAAAATTTCAAGGATCTAATAGGGCTCGGAAAAATATTCTAATAAAAACTTCAATAATTTAAATATCTAAAAAAAAATGATCATGTAAAAGTTCTTGCAAAAATATTAGAATAAAAATATTAGGCGACCTAAAAGGCATTTTAAAAAGGTTTTTAAAATAATATCCATCATCCAAAAAAAATTAGAAAAGTAGTCTAAGAAAATATATACGATCTGAAAGTCTTTGAAAAATATTTTTTATTGAAGTGCTTAACAAAATATTCTTAGAAAACAAGAAAAAAATCCACGATCTGAATTGTCTCCAATATGTATTTAAAAGCAAATATTCACGATCTGAAGGACCTAACATTATATGATATATAAATATGATATAAATATTGTGATGTGCCAGGTTTGGACCTTATTGGTTACTTCCTTCCTTATCTTTTTATGCGGTATGTGATAGCTTTTAGAAAATGTTAAAATGTGCTTGAGGCACCAGGAATAATCGACAGAAGTATTTCATTTTCGTACTTCAACTAATACAGATAAAAATTTTGGTATGGTATCATAAATTCCATATTCATCTCAGGTTTCTGGTTTGGAGAAATATTTAAATATAGCTAAAGTTGTATCGCTGACTTGTTTCGCAAGTTTTGACAGAGAAAGATATTGAATATGTTGACCCCCTTTGGGTCACAGCAGATCCTGTGTTAGCAAAATTTTTTGTTTGTGTGGAATCTGAAGAGAGTTGGATGTTTATTTCGTATTCTTTGAGCGTTTTGTTTTTTTTTTTTTTTTTCAAAATCTTAAACCTATGGGGGAAAAGTACCAGAAGAAATAGTCCGATCTCTACCATATTTATAACAGATCTTGTGTTGATGGAAATTTTCAGATGTGCCAAATCTGAATGAAATCGGATGTTAATTTCTCATTTTATGAGTTACATGGGTATTCAAAAATTTGACCCCTTGTGGGGGAGGTACCAGAAGGAGAGGACTAATATATCCCAGCTTCACGCTGGGTCTTGTGCTAGCAGTAATATTGGTATGTGCCAAGTTTGAAAGTAATCGGAAGCTCATTTCGCATTTTATCAGCTTCATTCATATTCAAAATTTTGACCCGTTGTGGGGGAGGTGCCAGAAGAAGTGAACCTATATATTCCATATTCACGCCAAGTATTGTATTGGCAGAAATATTGAGATGTGCCAAATCTGAGTGGAATCGGATGTTAATTTCTCATTTTATGAGTTACATGGGTATTCAAAAATTTGACCCCTTGTGGTGGAAGTACCAGAAAGGGTGGACCGATATAATCCATCTTCACGCCAGGTCTTGTGCCAGCAGAAATATTGGTATGTGCCAAGTTTGAAAGTAATCGGAAGCTCATTTCGCATTTTATCAGCTTCATTCATATTCAAAATTTTAACCCGTTGTGGGGGAGGTGCCAGAAGAAGTGAACCTATATATTCCATATTCACGCCAAGTATTGTATTGGCAGAAATATTGGGATGTGCCAAGTTTGAAAGTAATCTGATGCTCATTTCGCGTTTTATGAGTTTCATGCATATTCAAAATTTTGACCTGTTGTGGCTGGAGGTGCCAGAAGAGAAGACCAAAAAATTCCATCTTCACACCAGATGTTGTGTTGATAAAAATACTAGGGTGTGCCGAGTTTGAAAATAATCGGATGACCGTTTCGCGTAGCATGAGCTTCGAGATTATTCAAAATTTCGTCCCATTTATGGGGGAGGACCTAGAAGGAGTAGATAGATAGTTACAATAATTCGCACTGGATCTTGTGCAAGTAGAAATAATGGAAGGTGTAAAATTTAAAGAGAATCGAATGATTATTTTGCATTTTGTGTGAGATATAATTATTCAAAATTTTTGCCTGTTGTGAGGGAGATACCAGAAGGGGTACTCTGACACATTCCATCTTCACACCAGATCTTGTGTTGATAGAAATATTGGGATGTACTGAGTTTGAAAAAAATCGGATACTCATTTTTCGTTTTATGAGCTTCATGATTATTCAAAATCTTAATCCTTTGTGTGGGAGGTACTTAGTAAAGTAGGTCGATATTGACAATTTTCGCACCTGAAATAGCATTTATATAAATATTGGGATTTGCACCAAATTGGACGACTCTTTCTGGTTCCATGCACCAAATTATTTTCTTTGCCAATTTTAACCTTATGTGGGAGAGTTATCATAAGGAGAAGACCGATCGTGCCCATTTCCGAACTCGATCTAATTTTAAATCTAATTTTGACATTTACAATGCCCCAAGCTTGGATCAAACCGGATACTCCTTTCGAGAGTTTTCGTGCCCACCAGCCGGGTAGACAGACTGAGGGACTTATGGAAACCTCTAGATCGGCTCCAAATTTCCTAAAACGGATTTGGTCCAATGGGACCTAGGGTCTAAAATCGTTATTTCGATGAGTCACATTTTTACTGTATCAAATATGGCTGAGGGTATAGAAATTTCGCAAAAAAAGTTGTGGTCCGTTTTACCCGCTAAGTATAATCCGGTGAACATCCAAAAGGCTCTTGCTCTTGCACTGTCCGAAACTTTAACCTTATCCGAAATTTGGTGTCGATTTGTCCATAATTGTTACCAAATAAAATCAGGATTTTTTTTCTGTTTTTTGTCCATTTCAAATATTTAGCGAGCATCTCCTAACCTTAAATCCGTTCAAAATTTCGTGAGGATCGGACTATAATTGTGACCTGTAGTGTGACTACAAATTAACATAGACAGATCGACACACATGACCAGATCGACAAGGCTTAGCGTGGTGCGGTATAAAAGTCTACGTTTGCTCGCTTTAAAAAAAAAAAAAAAACATTTGAAACGTTCGAAAAATGTGTAACACCTTGAAATATTTGACCTAGATCCATGATTTTATATAAGGGGCTTCCTATCTCGCCGAGCTCAGTCGATCTAGACATGGTCGCAATTATAGATCAATTCCCATAAAATTTCGCTTGGAGTTAGGGTTAGGGAGAGAAGAGAAGCCTATTTTTGGGGTTAAGGATCTCGAAATATTTATGGGTTGAAATGGACAAAATCTGAAAAATTGACCTGATTTTGCAGTCGCTCTTTCGCACGAGGTTGGGGTTTAGGAAATCTTAAAGACACGTTTTTTTAATTCCATGTCTGTGGGTCCTTTGAAGTTATTCTTAAAAAAACTCACGGAAATTTCTGAAAAAAATATTTTTCGAATAAACACGACTTTGGGTCCTTCATAAAATATGCCATATTTGATAGGTTCGTCCTCAGTTTTTTTTTTTTTTTTTGATTTACAAATCCATGTCAGGTTGTTCTTGACTTTTTATATAAATCTGCGTTTTTTGGACCTTAAAAGTTATTTATTTAAAATTAAATTATCTATTTCAAAATTTAATTTAAAATCCGAGTTTTCATTGGTCCTCAGAGAAATTTTTGTTAAGACCTTGTTTGTTGCTCGGCTTGTCCTTTCAGAAAAAATTTTACTTTTTTATTCTCTTTCCATAAAAACCTTCATTAATTTCTCTTTTCTCTTCTTCTTTTCTCCCCTCTATTTCCCCTTGCAGGTCATCGAGCAATTATTTTTTGTGCGTCTAGTCGGTAAAACACCCATCGAGACATTGATACGCGACATGCTGTTGTCCGGCAATAGTTTCTCCTGGCCTTATTTACCATCGATGTGACACACAATGTGGAGACAATTGACAACGACATGATCATCCACGGCGGCGGCGGCTGTTGCAGCGGCAGTTGCAACTACACAACAACAACACCAACATCATCATCATCAGCAGCAGCAGCATTATCATCAGCAGCAACAACAACAGCATCAGCAACAATATGGACATCATCAGCAACAGCATAATCATGCTCATAACCATCATCCACTTCATCATCATCATCACCACCACCAGCATCAGCATCCGATGCAACATGCTGGGGTGTACAGCAGTTTTGCAGCAGCAACGGCGGCAGCAGCTTTGAATGTAAGCAGCTCCAGTGATTTTGGCAGCAGCAATCTGAGTGGTGCCATGAACGACCAGAGTATTGCTGAGATGGAAACAAGTTTGGAAACTTCGGCCAATGGCCAGGGTGAAGGTGGTGGGGCGGGCAATGTGGGCAGTAGTGGTAGTAGCAGCAACAGCAGCGTTAGTAGTGTTAGTAGCAGTGGGGTCACAACCACAGTTGCAACAACACCCCCACCAACAACATCTGTTGCGGCGGCCCCTGAGAATGTGGGGTCTGGTGGTGGTGGCGGCGGCAGTGGTGTTGCCGTTAATTATGGCCCAACATTTTTTGGCAATGATTATCATCATCAATTAACCCAATCCGCTTTAATGGCCAATTCGACGACATATGCCGCTGCGGCGGCTGCCTCCAGTACGGCCATGCTAACAAATTATTGCGATGCTGCCATGATGATGGCCGCGGCAGCTGTTAATGCCAATCAGTGTCTGCAACAGCAACAACAGCGCATTGCCTTAATGGCCAACTGTCAGAGTGCAATGGATGAGCATGAGTTTACAAGTTTTGCCAAAGATGTTGTGGCCTCGGCCTTGTCATCGGGTGGATCGTCCTGTACCTCCAATACCTCGGCCTCAACGTCATCGTTGTTTTCCACAGTCACTGCAACGAATAGAGAAATGAAAATAACAACAACAACGACAACGACAACAGCGGCCTTGTCACCGGGAGTTACAACAGCAACAACAACAACAACAAAAACTTCAAGAAAATCCCCCTCACCTGGCAAAACCGTGCATGCTGTAAGTATTAAAGCCAAGGAAGAGTTGCTCAACACTACCACCAGCAGTACCAGCACCACCTCCATAACCCTTGGCTCTGAAACGCCACCAAATTTTATCGATATCAGTGAAGTTCCTCTTATTGTGGATGTCAAGTAGTAGCGAAAAAATTTTGAATTTTCCTTAATTTTTTTTCCATATAGGGTGTGAAAATAAAATATTGAAATTAAAAAAAAAAAAATAATTGAAAAAAAAATACAAAAAAAAAATTCTTAAAAAAAATCTCAAAATTTTTAAAAAATAGCTAAAAATTGTAAAAAGCATAGATGAAATTTTTATTTTCTCCAAAAAACTTTTGTAAATAATTTTTCAATAATTTAATTTATTTTTTATATTTAAAAAATATTTTTTAGGAATCTCAAGGAAGTCATTGTTTTAATATTTTTTTATAAATATTTTTTTTTTTATGAAGTTTCAAAGCCCATTTTTCAAAAAAGCTCAAAAAAAGACTCAATTAAAAAAATGCAGGGATATTTTGAAGTGGGGGAGGGTAGATCTCCAAAGAATTCGAATATGAAATTAAAAAAATTTAACTTTAAAAATTTCAAATTTCCAATTGTGGCAGGTTCCTGGATCATTTCCAAATTGTAACTCCTCCCAACTTACAATCCCATAGTCTCAAATTCTGAATGCTCAAATATTTTTCAAAATTTTTCATTTTTAAAATTTAATTTTTTTAAATTTTTTAATTAATTTTTTTTTTTAAATTTAAAAAAATAATGTATTTTTCATGGCTTCAAAATAAACATATCTTGGTTTTAATTACTAAACAAAAAGACACAAAAAACAACAACAACAAGCAAGTCCCCTCAGTTAAAAAAAAAGATACGTGTAACGTATTGCATTTGTTTTGTAGATATAAATAAATAAAAAAAACCAAAATGTCCAAACTGTATAAAATATATAATTTGTAAAAATTAAAAAAATTAAGAAAAAATATATAAATATTTTAGTATAAGTAAATATTCAAAACAAACAAACCGAAGGCGCATTATATAAATAAAAAAATTCTATATATATTTAAATAGTGACCAGGCACTTAATTATACTTAATATTTGTAAATTAATAAATTAAAAATAATAAAAAGAAAACAAAAACAAACAAAAAATATATATAAATTTAACTTAAATAAAATTGTGTATTTAAAGAAAAATATTCCTTAAGATGTAAAAATAAATTTAAAAAAAAATCCATAAATAGCTATAAATAAATGTGTGTAAAAAAATTTATAAATACTCTACAAATGTTTTTTCTTAGCTAAAAAAAATAATTTTTAATTTTTTGTTTGTTTTTATTTTTTATATTATTATTTTAATTATTTTTTATAACTCTACTTTGCACAATTATACCAAAAAACACACATACTTTTAGCTATTAGCTTTTAGAACAAAATCCTTTTTAAAATTGTGGCAATTTATTTCAAAAAGTCTTCTTTTTTTCTTCTTTTCTCTTTTATTCATCTTAAAGATGAACTGGAAATTAAATTTTTAAAATTTATTTAATTAGGTGTAACTTTAGTCCATATTTTTTATAAATAATACCCCCCTCTTGCAATCAAAACAACACCAGTGCAACAACATTTATTTTTTAAAAGCCTCCTTACCTTATATTTAAAAATTTTGAACACAAACTATTTAAGTTATGTTATTTTCTCTTTTCTTTTTTTATATATGAAAAAAAGAAAAAAAAGTTTATATATATTTTATGAAATAAAAAAAATGTAATTTGTAATTGTTTATTGAAAATTTTTGAGTTTGTTTTATTTTTTGCGATTGAATTAAATGGACTTTATTTCTTGGGTTTGTGAAAAAATGTCAAGTTCTAGTAATTCCAAAAGGTAAGTGCGTAAGCTGTCCCTAAATTGTGCTAGAAAAATGGGTGAAATTTAATATTTTCTGGGCCATAATTGTATATAGGAACTAAAAAAAGACGAATCGCTATAGGTCATACTTTCAACAATGGTGCTAATATAAAAAATAACTAAAATTATAACCATTACAATAAAATTATTTTTTATCCCTAAAATTCGAAAAAAAAATATAATACCTAAGGGAGGAAAAACGGCTCATATCGTGTAAACGGTACAGTAGTTATTTAATATTTTCTTAAAGACAACTATCAATAATAGTCATCCAACAGAAATTTAAAAGAATTGGGTTTTTACAAAGTAGTCGGAAACGCCGCTTCCACAGTATCGATATATTTACTACTGAATCCCATCTTTATTCTGGAAATCAATGGGGCACATGGGACATTTGCTGGAGAAAATCGAATTCTGAGTAGCTTACACTCTGTGCGTTGTTCTTTTTTGACCAAAACTTCCCAGCGAAAATTTGATACATGTATTTACCACGTTCATTACGAAATAATGGGTTTTCTAACCAAATGTTTGCAATTGCAACTACTAACAAATTATTTTCCCATTAGTCTTACGAGAGCATCTCACCTGAAATAAGTAGTTACCATTTGGACACTAAGAGTCGAAAAATATTAAAAGCAAAGCCAGACCGAACTTTCAATACCCTCCACCATTAGATAAAAAAACATTAAAGTTTTCAAAATTCCATAAAGAGGGTGGAACTAATATATATGGGGGAATATAAAAACGAAAACCTTAATCGTAAAAATACCGAATGTATGGAGGTTTTATTGGGCAATCGGAAGACATGGATCTATATTAAAAATGTTGTCTCATAGTTGATAAAACCCAATACAAACTCCAAATGACATATTCAAACAAATATTATGAAAATAATTGCATAAAATTATCAAAATACCGAATATTGGAAGGTATCGTTTTATGGGCGCAAAACGAAAACGTGGAACGATATACCTCATTCTCAATAGTCACAACACAACTGTTGCAGCAAATTTCAAAGCTCTATGTAAATCCCAACCAGTAAAGAAAGTTTTAAAGTCGGTCGGCGCCGACTTCATGATACCCTACACCACTTTGCATATTTAGTAGAGCTTCACATAACAATTTAATGTTTTTATGGGAGAATTAAATCATACACGCTATGATTAAAATTATAATTTAAAGTTCAAAGGACTAAATATGCCGAAGCATTTGTATATTTTCTATACGGGCTTGTATTATCCATTTGGTGCACAATAAACTTGAAATCGGATAAGGATATATATGGGAGCTATATCTAAATCTGAACCGATTACGATCAAATTTGTTACGGAGTGCATATTACGGCCGCGGAGGACAAAAATAACAAATTGGATTAAAAATATATATGAGAGCTATAGCTATATCTGAACCAATTTTCACCAAATTTAACATACTAGCTTCTAGGTCGTATGTGCCAAATTCCATCCCATTTGGGCTAATATTACACGTTTGATGCGCAATAAAAGCCAAATCGGACGAGGTTATATATAGATAAAATTTAGCAAAGGTATTTCTGAGCTGTATTCGATATATTTCCCCAATTATTGTTGTTACAGAGTGCATATTACGGCTGCGAAGGACAAATATAACAAATCGGAGGAACAATATATATGGGAACTATAGATATATCTGAACCGATTTCGATCAAATTTAGCGTACTTATTTTCAGGCCTAATTTGGTTGTATGTGCAAAATTCCATAATACTCGCGCTGATATTACACGTTTGCTGCACAAAAAGAGACAAATCAGATGAAGATATATATGGGAGCTATATCTAAATTTTGACCGATTATCTCCAATTTCAATAGGGTTCGTCCTCGGGCCAAACAAATGATTTGTGCAAAATTTCATCTGGATAGGGAAATAAATGCGAACTGTACTTTGTTTACAAAAATACATGGACAGACGGACGGACGGACGGACATACATAAATCGACTCAGAATGTGATTCTATGCAGATCATCAAAAGGAAATCTGGGTCTATCTCGTCTGCCTTTTGCACGTTACAAAGATATAATACCCTGACCACCTTGTGGTGTAGGGTATAAAAATGTGGACTGTATTGTAAATTCAACAGACAGACGGAGAGACGGACATCTTTAAATCGATTTAGAATTTTATGACGATCAGGAGAAAATATACTTTATGGGGTCTACGACGAATATTTAGAGGTGTTACAATCGGGATGACAAATTTAATATGCCCTCTTTTCCAAATGATAGTTCATGTTCTCAGAGGTCATAAAGTCTAAAGTTCCAACATAGAACCACAAAATGGTATCATCTCCCATTTCATACCATAACAAGAAGGTTTCAATGGTAAGTAATTAGGCAGTTAGAGATTTCATGGATTCACCATGTTTGACAGGAGATCAACATTTCAATAGAAGCCCCCTATATCGGTATCAAGAGTTAGGGTCATAACCTCGTCATCCAGCACCTTTGGCTGAATTTGATTTAACATCTCATTGGTACAAAATTACGAATGTTGTGCCAAGTGCGGGGTTCCACATGTTTGCTTGCGTTGGTTCCAACTTACCATATAGTAATATTTTTATCATGTTTAGAATTAGTTCGATTGATTACGATCAAAATGTCAAATTACAAAAAAAAAAAAAAAATAAATTTTAAGTCGGTTGAAGTCACGGGTAAAAACGACAAAAATCTGCCAACTTTTTCTAGCTTATCCCCACACAAGAAGAGGGTATATTAAGTTCGTCATCCCGTTTGTAACACCCCGAAACATACATTTTAGACCCCACCAAGTATATTCTTTATCAGCATAAATTTCCATGTCGATTTAACGATGACCGTCCGTCTGCCTGATCGTCCGTCTGAGGAAATCACTCTAGCTTCCGAACGAAATGAAGTAGGTTGATAACATTTTACTCAACTGTGTGTTTGGTCTGCAGGACTTTTTGTATATATTCGGTATTTTGATATTTTGGAATTTGTTTGTTCACCGGAATTATTTCAAATTCTTTAATAGTTCGTTATGGGTACTACAGCCTGTGACAGAAAATTGGCTGTGGCAGGTCCACGTCTTCGTATAGCTCCCATATAAGGGTACCTCCCTATATTCGGTATTTTGCTGATTTCAGCGAAATTATTCACCGGAATTGTTTCATAGAAAATCCTCTGTATGCGGCATTTTCATGATTTTAGCGACATTATTCACCGGAATTGTTTCAAATTTCGTATTTCAAGTTCGTAATGAGAACTACAGCCTGTGACAGAAAATTATCTAAGCAAGTCTTCGTATAGCCTCTAAATATCGGTACGACCCTATATTCGGTATTGTGATAATTTTAGCTACATTATTCACCGGAATTGTTAACATTTCGTATTTGCACTTCGTAAAGGGTACTACAGCCTGTGGCAAAACATTGCAGGTCCACGTCTTCGTACAGAGCCCAAAATAACGGTAACTCATTTTACAAAGTATTTTTAAGATTTTAATTTATTTATATTTATTTTTTTTTTAATTTCCAAATTATTTCCAAATGGTGAATGGAACTTGTTGCTTTTTCACTTGTTAATAATCAAAAGACGAAAATAATCTTAGATTTCCTTTAAGTTGTAGATATCTACATATATATCCTTTCGGAACGCTTACAATTTTGGAAAAATTCTATATTATTATTCAACAACGTCCTGGCGAAACAGCTGAAGCTAAAATTAGAAATTGTGCATGTTGTTCTATGTTGGTTTTTTGAAAATTTGAACTATAAGTGTACTAAAAGTTGTGAAATTAGTACCATTGTTGAGTCCTGTTGGAATGTCCAAAATCTGCGGCCAAAATGTTTGCGTGCCTAAGGCTTTAATACACCCTTCAGAATATTTTTGCGATAATATTTGGCATTTATCCTGACCATCACCATGCTGTCTGATTTGAAACATTTTAGGCCTTCAGCCACATTTTCCAACCGATTCGACTTCAGTTTCGGTGAATCCCCCCGTTTCCAATACAATTACCGGTGGTAATTTTCGAAACATTACCTATAATTTTATTCCAATCGGTTTTCGCAGTTATTTTGCTTTGAAGTCAATATTGTTTTGAAAGTAATGCACCCATTACA